GCCAGCCCGAGCAGTGCCTCGCAGCCCAGGGAGGAGACGGGCTGCCCTTCGATCTCCAGCACCTCATCGCCCAGCCGAAGCCCTGCCGCCGCCGCGCTGCTCCCCTCCTGCACCCAGACGACGTAGCACGGACCGGTCCCGTTTATCTTGAACCCGAAGGCCTCGGGCCAGCCCTGGTTGGTTGCCGGCATGGCTGCAACTGGAAAAGAAGGAGGGAAAATAAGGAGTTGTGATGCGCTTCCCATCCTTGACCTTAGCTCCTGTAGCTAAGCTCCATCCTTGAGCACCTGTAGCATTCTGTAGCATCCTTGAGCTTAGCTCCACATGCATCCCATCAGCTGTGGGGGTCTAGTCTGTGCTGCAACCCCCACCGTGGGGAAGAAATGCCCCAAGAGGGATGCCTTCCCTCTGTATTTCCCTAAAAAATAGATTTTATGCTTCTATCGGCAGGCTGCTGGCAGTGCCAGTGCCATTAGCAGTGGGGAAGCTGGGCTGGCTGGAAAGGTCGGGGCTACACCGGGCACCGACCGGGAGGTGTGTTTAGGTACCTGCTTGCATTTATTTATCTAGAAAAGTAATTATTTTGTTTCCTTGGCATGTCATGTTAATGAACAGACCACCCAATGACTTAAGGCAGCCTTATTTTAACCAGCTCTTCTCAATCATCAGCATTCTCACAGCTTGCAGCTGCAAAATGACTGCAGATTCATTAGAATCTGCTGGACCCGCTCAGCTCCCCCGGAGCAGCCCTTCGTGCCCTCCCTGTCCTGTGTAGCATTAACCGGATTACGGCCTCCTGAAACACAAAGATGAGGATTTTCAAAAGGACTTGTCTGTGGTTCGTTCGCAGGGTTAGGACCGGCTCCGCGGATGCTGAAGGAGAACGCATCAGCCCTAAACATCTGCAGAAGTCGCCTTTGCCCGAGGCAGACTGGGCCAGCTGATCTGCGGGGCTCACGTGGCCGCCCTCCCGACGCCGACGATGTGTGAGTGCGTTCGCGGTCTGCTGACACTTGCGAAATTTGTTTCCATGCAGATTTTCTCTTCATTTGATCTCAGCTGCCTGTGAAGATGCTTTTTACTCCCGTGTTTATTCCATCTGTGCTACTTAACGCACGTTAAGCACTTACAAAAATGAAGCGCAGACTGTTTTACCTGGGCAAGTTATCTTACAGAGACTACAGGGACTGCATCAAGAAGAGTGTGGCCAGCAGGACCAGGGAGGTTCTCCTTCCCATCTACACTGCCCTGGTGAGGCCCCATCTGGAGTACTGTGTCCAGTTCTGGGCTCCCCAGTTCAAGAAAGATGAAGAGCTACTGGAGAGAGTCCAGCGGAGGGCTACAAGGATGATGAGGGGACTGGAACATCTCCCCTATGAGGAGAGGCTGAGGGAGCTGGGCTTGTTCAGCCTGAAGAAGAGAAGGCTGCGAGGGGACCTAATAAATGCTTATAAATATCTGAAGGGTGGGTGTCAGGAGGATGGGGCCA